ACATCTGTTTTTGCTTTTATAAATCCCGATTTGTTCCTCACTTTTGATGTAGGATGAAATCTACATGAAATCTACGAAAAGAATTTAGGATCAAATCTGGTCATACATGTGTTACTAACATTTTTAACTAGAAAGTGATAATCACACCAGTCAGGGTTTTGGCTGTATGTAGACAAGGTTTGAGTTTTATTTTCTGCCCTGCTGATAAAGGAAATGTTCTCGTGTGTGGTTCAGTGATGCTGTACTGATGTATGTGATGTCTGACAGACTTTCCAAGGACGTGGAGTCGAGCTCCGACCACAGTCAGATGTCATCAGCGGGCAGAAACGAGGCTGTGAGCGGTCAGGAGCTGCTGCTGTCTCCCCTAAGCTTCTGGTCTGGAGAGCCCAAGTCTCCCCTGCAGCTCATCTACCAGCCACACGACTGCAGCGCCGCATGTGTCCCGCAGCTGCCCGCTCATGCCGACCACTTCCTGGGTCACAACCCGCTGTGCGTGCCCATGCTGTGCCAGTTCCAGCTCCACTGTGCCCGCATGCAAGCCGCCGGCGATCTGGAGAACGAGTCTAACAAACAGGACGCAAACTTGCTTTATAAAGCACCATGTGGCCGGAGCCTGTGTTCCATGGAGGAGTGTGTGTGTGTGTGTGTGTGTGTTTGCACCTCTGTCAGTAGCAGTGTTATGTCTGACTGCATCTCTTAAGTGTTGAAGCAGGTCCAGCAGATCATCAAACACTCCATCAACATCCACTTCCTCCCAGAAGCTCCTCACTTGCTCAGAAACACACAATCATCTTCTGATCAATCATCAGATATAGGCCTATGACATACTGATCAACATCTAAACAATCATCAGATATGAGACTGATCACTGATCAACATCTGATCAGTCAGCATTCATCAGATATGGAACTGATCATCTATCAACATCTTTCTGGTTTCACACTCCATCATGTCGATCAGATCCTCAGATGTGCTCATATGAGTTGCAGATCGACACACAAACACTGAACGTTCAATAACAGTCACTAAATGAACATTAAACAACAATACGAAAAACCAGCATCAAAAAAAAAAAAAAAACGTACGCAAACTTAATGAAAATGTCACGTTTTTTACTTAAGCGCCTTCATGAAAGTGAATGAAAGAAGGCGACATTACTAAAGAATCTTCTTTTTCTTGGCTTTTGCAACTTGTAATTATTGCATATCGCCACCTACTGTACAGGAGTGTGAAGAGGGACTTGGCAGATATTATAAAAAAAATTTAAAGACAAAACCCAAAGAAAAAAAACAACCAAAGGGTTACCTTTTCGTTTTTAAACTCTTCTTATTAATCCAGTATTTTAAAGAAATAAAGCTTTGAGCCTATTTCTTTCCATCCCTTGTTCTCTAAGAATATCTTCAATTTTATTTTCTTCTTCCATTTCCTGCCATTTCTGCCTGTATTCATGGTATTTATTACATCTAAACAAGACATGTTCTACATCTTCCTTGGTTTGACATCTTGTACATAATCCATTACTCTTCCCTATTATCTGCAAGGTATCATTCAATCCAGTATGACCTAATCTCAGCCTTGAAAATTTCTACTTGCTCTTTTTCCCATGCTTCTTTTGCTATCTTATCGGCTTTTCATTACCTTTGATGCCAATATGTGCTGGAACCCAACAAAACTGAATTTCTATTCCTAGATTTCTAATATTTAATAGTATATGTCTAGTTTCAATGATTAAATCTTCTCTAACTGAAATACTACTTTCTAAACTTTGTAAGGCTGCCATTGAGTCTGTACACTGATTTAATTGGTTTATTTTCTTCTATCCATCTTAAGGCTGTAATTATCCCAGACATCTCAACTGTAAAAACAGAAAGATGGTTATTTAATCTATAACCCAATTTTTTGTTAAATTCTGGAATATAAATTCCTATGCCACAATGACCATTTTTGTTTTTTGACCCATCTGTATATATTTTAAGATATCCATAATATAATGAAGACAAATATATTTGGCCATATTTTGCAAAACTTTGATCATCTTGGTATTCTCTTTTAGTAATTCTGTATTGATGTCTGAAATAGGGAGCATCCAAGGAGGAACTTTACTAAAGAATCATCCACATGTGTCGGAATCGAGTGAATTGTTCTTTAAAACCAATTCAGTCAAACTGAAGCGTCTATAAATCACTCCAAGAGAGAACCATAAACAACACAGCATTTTATGCAAACTTTGCAACCTAGCCGAAAATACAGTGACTTGCTGAACTAAACGTATTATCGCGGTCTTTTGTTTGAATGATGACCCAAAGTGAGTCTTAGTGAGTCTTTTGTTGTTGAATCAGAACACACTGTCCGAACAAACCGATTCGGCAAAATGAATATGGTTTTATGTTTTGGTTCCAGTTAAAGTCGAAACCAATCGATCATCGATATTCTCACGCTTATCGCATCTGTGGTCTTTCCATTACTGTTTTCGACACAGTCGTACTAAGTACGCCATCGTTTAATCGAAATATATTGCTGATAATGTGTGGTTTGTGTATAAATATAGCGTGTTAAATTAATTCTCCATCCATCCATCAGTGATTCGGTGTTCGTTTTTGTATGTCTGTGTGTGTCACATCACATTTGAAAGTAGCTACTAGTTTATTTGCCTACATTAACACAGTAAACAGATGCCGATTTTATGTTAACATGCATGAAGCGCACATTCATGTGGCATCACGTGACGTAGTTTTGTATGTTATGTATCATGTACTTCCGGCGAGGTTTTGTAACAATGATTGTGCGCTGATGTAATTATTCACAGTTGCACAATAAAGACTGGGTTTGTTCGTTCATTGCAGCGGATCTCATTATTTACAGTAAGAACAACGTCCATTCATTCATATTCATCATGTTTAGTGTGTGTTTCTGTACAGATAGATGATTCATAACTTAGTTCAGTGCTTTAAATCTGCAATGGTACACAAAGTTTACGTCAACATACTCTACTAGTTGGTTTTAGTCAGGGCCCGACCCACAATATATGTAAGTATTATTTATATATCTCAATATGTATCATTTATATATTGTTTTATGTATTTCACTTTATTTATAATTTTTTATCACAGTGTGCAATTATTTTTTACAATATGTTATTTTATTGATATATTATTTCATCTCAATATGCCATATTTATATGTTAGTTTCAAAATGCATTTTATTTATAAATAATTTTTATTGCAGTATTTTATTGAAAACCTTCAGATACATTGAAAACAGAGTAGTGTGTATTATCCATTGACTATGTGGGTTTTGGAGCTGACACAAGTATCAACTGATGATCTCAGAACATGTCATGTTTACCGTGGTATATGTGTGTGTTTATTTGTGTCCACTGCAGATGACTGAGGTCAGGCGGGCCATCTCTGAAGCGCTGTGGGGAATGTGTGCAGCGGATGCCATGTCGATGCCCGTCCACTGGTACTACAACACCCAAGACATCAGGAGGGACTTCAGTGGCTGGATCACTGGATTCACTGCGCCGCGGGGCAGACACCCATCCAGCATCCTAAGCCTGTCCAGCACAGGTCGTACAGCTGAAATACTGCTGGTACTGCTTTACTGATGCTTGTATGTAATCATGCTGTGTGTGATTATTGTGTAGCTGGCAGTGGACGCAGAGCCGGATCAACCGGAACCGCAGCTCCTGTGGTAGGGAACGTGATTCTGCATGATAAGCTGAAGTTCTGGACGGATCCGCTTAGATCAGTGCACTACCATCAGGGTAACAGACAAACACGTATGAGTGACCTTATACCTGGCCAATCCGTCTACTGATGATCAACACAAAACTAAAGCAAGAGCTGCTGAAAATCACAGGAGAGAAACACAGGTTTAGTTTGAGTCATGCAGTAACTAGATCTTCAGCAACTGATTATACGGCTTTATTTCTGACTGTGAAATGTGTCATTTACTGCATGCATGTCAGATAGAGTTATTAGAAATGCTGCCTTGGCAACTAACTGAAATCAATAACTTTAAGTTGAATTACTAAAGTTAATCAAATTGAAATAAAATGAATTAAAACTAAATAGAAATATAAAAAAACATGACAAACGCACATAACAAAATTACTAAACTAAAACTGACATAAAATGTAATTAAAACTAAAAAAAAATAATACAAATGATAAAAGCACGTAACAATATTATTATAACTTAAATGTATAAAATTTAATTTAAACTAATCAGATATTTTAAATTAAAGCTAATAAAAATGACCAAAGCACATAACAAAATTACAACTGAACTATTAAAACTTAAACTGAAATTAAAAAGAAAACTGAAAAATAAAAGCTAATTCAAAATATTAATATAAATGTAAAAGTATATAAATAATACTCAAATAATACTGAAATAAAGCATGTAACCCTAACCTCTTATACTGAAGTCTTATTACTATAATGCAGTTGAAAGTGGAATGATGACAGACTAAAATGTATGAGTGTATTTGTGACCTGAAACCTGCTGTTATGTGAAGCGTGTGAAATGTGTGATTTACTGTGTAAATGTAGTTCTGAATCTCTGACTCCCGCAGGTCTTCACGCAGGTGGAAACACGCTGAACACTCTCTGTGCTCTGAGAGTTGCGCGCATTCTGTCCACCGGTGCTTTCGTTAGTATGGCTGATCCTGAAGCACGAGCCACCGTACTGTCGGATTGCACTGAGTTCATGACGCGTCCCGGCTCACACAACGACACGTACGCAGAGTCCTTCCATAGAAGCTTCTTCTCTGACTGGCAGGAACTCAGACCTACGTCCTCTAGAGAGGTAAATGCATCTTACGTCAGACCATCGGTTCACTGTCAGTCCAGTCAAGTCAAGTCACTTTTATTTCTATAGCACTTTATACAATACAGATTGTTTCTAAACAGCTTCACGGTGATAAATGAGAAAACAGAAATGCAATGATTTAAACAGAATTCAACTCTAAAGACAGTAGTAAACAGTCATTAGTTCATGACGCGTCCCGGCTCACACAACGACACGTACGCCGAGTCCTTCCATAGAAGCTTCTTCTCTGACTGGCAGGAACTCAGACCTACGTCCTCTAGAGAGGTAAATGCATCTTACGTCAGACCATCGGTTCACTGTCAGTCCAGTCAAGTCAAGTCACTTTTATTTCTATAGCACTTTATACAATACAGATTGTTTCTAAACAGCTTCACGGTGATAAATGAGAAAACAGAAATGCAATGATTTAAACAGAATTCAACTCTAAAGACAGTAGTAAACAGTCATTATTTATTTGAAATCATTGTTGATTCAGTTCAGTTCATTCCTGATGATCCTGTCTTCCTTTCAGGTTCTGGAGTTTGCGGAGCAGCGCTCCAAATGCATGTTGAGCACATCCCATGCTGACAGTCAGCTAAATGCTATAGGATGTCTTCCCATGGCCATTCCCTTTGTCCTGCTGTCTGCCACAGCCAATGAGGAGGAAGCAGTGAGTCACATGACGCCAACATCTCATCCGAGTCTCATCCAGCTACTGCATGATGTTCATAAATTAACACTCTTTAGCTGAAAAATGTAACATTTTGGATTTTTACATTTTTTTAACTTCATTTTTAGTTTTTTTTTTTTTTTTTTTTCCGTATGATTAGAAAAGTTTAAGTGGTCCTGAATAAAATAGTCACACAATGACCACATTGGAAACAAATGGGAAGCTAATTTTATCTAGTGGAAACGTTTGATTCTGCACCCAAACAAAACCTCCTGAAAGCTCATTTTTTTGAGATATCAACCTCAGATTTGGAGTACAACTTGTTCAAATTTATTTTCTCACAGTTTTAGAGTAAAACATGTTTTGGAAAATATATTTCATATAAAATTTGAAAACAGTATTTTTGTGCATTTTTCATAGCAATAAACTTAAACTTTTTATTATTATTTTTATTTCAGCAATAATCAGCAAGTGTCTTCTATGTTCAAAAAGTGGTTAACAAATAATAAATGGATTGTAACTACTGCATAAATATAATTCACTACCATAATATCCCCTAAAAATACAAAATATTAAATTAAAACATTTTCAAACTAAAATATAATACATTCATTTCATTTAAATAAAAAAATATCAGTCATTTTTGACTTTGACTGTCACGCCCACAGTACCAGAGGGTTAAACATGTATTAACTGAGAATTGTAAATATTGTTCTGGTGGTGTGAATGTGTCCAGGTTTCTGCAGCGGTGGAGTTTGTGAAGCTCACTCATCCTCATCCAGCGCTGGAGCCGCTGGTGTCTCTGTACATGCGAGCGCTTCACGCCACACTGAACGGAGCATGTCTGAAACAACAGGCGGAGACGGCGCTCAAATCACCCGTGCTGGACACCTGGGACGTGTGTCAACACTTTATACAGTGCACAGAGAGGTCAGCAACTCATATTACACCACAAAAACATTAGAAAGAACAAGAACCTATTTATTAAAAACAGAAAACTTTAGGACCATTTTAGGACCATTAAGACATTATGAATTGTGATATTCTCATGACAATTAAAGGTGCAGTAGGAGATCTTGGAAAATGCTAACTTTAGCCTGATAGCACTGAAAGCGAACGTACCACCCTCCCTGCAATCGCCGTCCAAAGCCACGCCCCCTGTACGCATTTACGCTCACAGACCAGAATACCAGAGACAACATTACTACAATAGGCTACATCAGCGGTTCCCAATTCCAGCCCATGTTCCAAAGTGAAGTAAACTTCAACGGATTTCCCCCGCTCAGGGAGTAGGGAGCAATGAACACTGTGTAGGGATCATATCGATCGGAACAGTTCATGCACGTAGTTCACTTCTAACGAGCTGGCGCGAGGACTGGATTAACCGCTGGGCTACATCATGTGTCATTCACCGGTGAGAAAACTTTAAAAGTACTACAATACCAGGAAGGAAAATCGGGTTGTTGATTCTCTGGCATTCTCGCTCTGTCTGCACAGCGTGCGTGAACGCGCTGATGACGTATCCTGTCTGCGCGAACCGGGTGCGCAGAGGTATACAGATACATATGTTGACAGGCAGGTAGGAAAGCCAATTAAAACGCTCGGACCGAGCGTTTTGATTGGACGAACATTTCTTGATCCTACGCCTTCCACAGAATATATAAATATAGATAAATACATTTAGACCACTTAACTTAATGATTGCTATCGGGATGTGAAGAGACTTTCAACCAGCATAACAAAAAATGTTTCTGAAGACAATCACCTATTGCACCTTTAAACCATTGTTGTTATTGTTAACTAAAACTATTGTTGGAATCTCAGAAGCGAAGACCAGGATAATCTTGGGTATCTTCAGCTGGGCACTTTATTGAGAACTTGCTGTGTGGCGCTGCAGTCATCAAAAGTCTGACTAAGGCAGGCATAAATTGTATTTTATAGGCATTCAGTGGGCAGCCCTTAAAGTTGTTGACCTAACACCTAGCCTCAGAAGTGACTACTTAAACGAAACATCTAAAGACAATACAGGAAATCAACCCCCGACTGTGAGCTTCACCAAACCTACTCCCCAAAGATAACAGTACCTAAATAGTTTAAGCTGCACCTGGCCACGAGAACTAAAGATGTGTAAACTTTCACATGTAGTTAACTCTCAGTATGAAGATCAAAGATTTGCAGAACCCCCTCACTGGAAACTAATATTGAATTTAATCAGTAAACAGATGCCATCATGTTCACCTTGAATGCCCAATACAATGTAGATCACCTTAGTTTTTCATATGATGTTATGTCAGGATGTAGAATCAGCAGATCTTAAACAGTTTCTTAAATTTGTAATCCCACAATGTCCACTTTGAGACTTCTAATAGCTCTCACATAATACAAATTTAAACCTCCATAAGTCCATTCTATAGCCTATGTTTGTTAAGATAAGCCCCATCTTCCATTCATGTAACTTGAAATAGTTACAGGCACATATAACTTCAGTGCCGTGTCCTAGATTTACATTTACATTTAGACATTTAGCAGATGCTTTTACCCAAACGACTTACAAATGAGGACAATGGAAGCAATCAAAATCAACAAAAGAGCAATGATATTAGGGCTGGGTATCGAGTTCGATACTTTTTAGGCACCGACCGAATTGCCTCGATACCATCGAGTATCGAAAAACGTCTTGTCCTTCGGTACCAAATTTCGATACCTAAGGGGTTAATCTCATCAGCGTCAGTGAGCCAATAAGCCTGCAGCACTTGTGAAAGAATGCAAAAAGATAAAAGAAGCAAGTGTTAATTAATAAGAAAACAAGCAGTTAGTAAATAAATAGAGTGCAAGTCTAAAAGACAGGCGATTCATTGCCGAATTTGTGCGATTTTGTGTCGCTTGTCAGTGAACTACGGCTCTGTGTAGTAAATTCCACTCCATCTGAATGTTTGGCAAGGTTGAGTTGAAGGTTATGGTCCTTCATCCAGCAAGAAATGTCTGTTAGACAAACAGAGATGCGAGCAGCTATCGTCGGATCATCAGGATGGAATGAGAGGTAGAGTTGATTGTCATCAGCATAGCATTGAGGTCAGTATTATTTTTTGATTTGCGCCACACCCTTTCAGCAGCCCTGAGCTTAGAACGATGCTCGCGGAGAACATCAGACAGCCAAGGGGCAGAAGGGGTGGTACGGCCTGGCCTGGAAGACAAGGGGCAGACAGTGTCTAAACAAGATGTAAGAGTGGAGCAGAAAGTATCAGTAGCACTGTTAGCATCAGGAGATTAGATTTACATAGGTGTAATAGTTTTTTTTTTAACTATAACAACACATAAACAACAAGGGTGGTAACTTGTTTTATAAACTACATGATTACACACAAAATCATATAGCCTAAGAGTACTAAATTCCCTTGAAGCCTGAACAGTCATGAAGTCTTTGGTGTAGTCTGTTTCCTTTGGAGTCCATTTCTAGTGCTGTTTCACTCAGATGACTTCTGTTCTCATGAAGCTCTTTCATTAATTTCAGATGTGACGCTCTACACCAGGGTACTGCTTATGTAGATGTTGTAGCATATGCATATTCCTGCAACACAAGAAAACAAAGAAACAGCAGACCAGTAGCATTCATGCATAGGCTTCATTTTTTTAGACTTCTGTTGATCATATAGTGGTTTTACTTATTACATTAAACTTCTGGTGATTGAATAGTGTTTTTCTGAACCTAGTCTTAAATGATCTGACACCTATTTACCAGTGAGGTGGGGATATAACTACTGATAGGCCCCTGAGGCCTGTTGAACTTCGGTTCTTCCCTGGGCTCCTCACTGGTCTATGTGTCCTAGTCTGTCCCTGTAGGTATTGTGCACACTGTATAGTGTGAGAAATGAGTTCCTTATGCAGAACCAAAATACATATATTTCCCAAAAATCCAAAAATAATGCAATCGTGACATTTCTATCCTCCAATGAAACATCAGTCCTAGTAGACATCATAACAGAGGATGGGTGACTGAATGGAATAGTCTGTAGTATAACATTTATGGCTGTGAATGTACTTAACCAGTGTCCCCCAATGGGAGGAAGTGATAGTCAACTTCCTTTCTTCAACTTCAGAGTTGCAAGCAGACCGAGTAGGAGATGATTTACATTATTAATTTCTCTTACGTTGCTTTTGTTTTTCCTACATTCTTACATCCAATGTCCAGGTTTACCACAGTAATGACAATTGCCCTCCTTAGGACATTTACGTTTTCGGTTCTTTGTGTTTACCTTAAAGGGGTCATATGATGCTTTTTAAAAGATCATTATTTTGTGTATTTGGTGTAACAGAATATGTTGACATGCTTTAATGTTCAAAAAACACATTATTTTTCAAATACTGTACATTATTGTAGGTCCTATATGCCCCGCCTCTCTCAAACGCTTCGTTTTCTACAAAGTCCCTCCTTCCGACAAATGCAGTCTGCTCTGATTGGCCAGCTGAACCAGTGCATTGTGATTGGCCGAACACAACAAGCACGCGTCGGAAATGTAACGCCCCTTACCATAATCGCGAGCTTCATCTTTCAAAATAAATCTAAAGACAGAGCCCGAAAGGGGAACAGAGTCGCGCACACACACACACACACGATGCGCAAAACTCCGCATTTGAACAATCAATAGCAAATACTTAAACTAATAACAAAACAGTAGCTGATTCAGAAGCGCCAGATTGTCATAGCAAAGTCAGAATTACCTCCTCTCATAGGTTCACGAAACGACCCCTTTAAAGGATGCTGCTGCAATTTTAACATTTGCCTTGACAACAGAGTCTCTCTCCCAAGTAGCCAGTTTGCCTAAGTTATTTTGTAAAGTTTCATTAGACCGTGTAGGGTTTATGAAGGATGACATGTTTAATCTGATGAAAGCCCATCAAACCACACATGGACCAGTGGTCCGTTATCATCTAATACCTTCAGCTGACTGACAAAACCTTTCAGTGTACTCACTTACAGTTTCATCCTTCTTCTGTACACAACTAGTGATCTTTGACCAGTCCATTTTGGTCCAACAATGTTCTTTCAACACTCTCAGAACTCCCTCTCTCAATTCATCTTTGCTGGCATGTTGAAACTCAGAATTATTTATAGCACTTTCAAAATCATTGAATTCTAATTCTGTCAAGATCTGTGACATTAGCTGGGTGACTTCAGCTAGGGACATATTATAGAGCCGCAAGATGCAAGTCTCTCCTGAACTGAGAAAAATTTCCAATGACTGATGGCAAACTCTCAGCAAGTGTCACGGCTTCTCTGGGCACAGGAACAGACAGGAACGCAGGAGATACTGCCATGGTGAACTTTAATTGAAAACGCAGGAGCAAAGACATGGAACTAAGCCAAAATACAACAGTGACTGAACAGTGAAAGAAACTCAGGGACAGACTTAAATAGGAAACACAGACAAGACTAATGGATAAACACACATGACACAAATGAGACAATAATGATAACTATGGGAACTAATCAGGGAATACAGGAACATGACCAAATAAGGAAAAACAGGAACCCAACAGGAACATAAACGTGAAAGCAAGTCATTCTATGGCCTAGAGCTGTATTGACTGCTTGTACAGTGCCTTGCGAAATTATTCATACCCCTTCATTTTTGTTCACTGTTTTGTTATGTTGCTGCCTTCTGTTAAAGTACTTTAAATTTATTTTTTCCCCACATCAATCTACACACCATAATGACCAAGCAAAAACAGAATTGTCAAAACTTCATAAATTTATTAAAAATAAAAAAACTGAAATAAGTACATTGCATAAGTATTCATACCATTAACTCAGTACTTCGTTGAAGCACCTTTAAGGCCCCGATATACTTAAAACGAAGTTCTTTTTCGTTCTTCATTTAGGGGTAAAACGAAGTTTGAAATACGTGAGCAGCAGTATACTGTTATCGAAC